CATTCGCTGCAGTGGTACAAGGCGAGGCAGGATGTTCTGCTTTTGTGCACATGCCACCGTCTACTGCAGTACTTAGTGCTTCAGGGGAACTCAATCACTCCGCCCTTTCAAAAATTAAACAATTTACAAGTCCATGCTGATTTCCGTCCCTCTCAGCTAGTGAATTTCCACTAGAAATTAGGGTTGTCTGTGGACCTGTCAATCCCCATCCACTTTTCAGAGTACATCGTTATTAAACGTGTTTTGCTGTCCATCTGCGTGCACCAGCAAGCAATGTTTAATAAATATAAGCGCAAGCCTTCTCTACCCCCTTATCAGTTCCGGGATCTGGTGCAAGTATTAAGCGTACAATCGGAATTCTGGCCTCAATCAGACTTCTTTCTCTGCCTTGGAAATACAGCAGCATCTCCGCCCTACAAGCTACATAACTGACGGGTGATTGTGAGTTGTCCTTTGCTTTTCGCCTGCCTACTACATGTGGTGTAGGCAGAGGCAAAGCCCCATTCCATGTCTGCACTTCATCTGGACTAAGTAAACTTAGCGGTGACAGAGTGGGGGAAAGTGTCATGACATCCGCAACGACAAGTGAACACAAATTATTACCTGCAGTTAGGTGTAATGGAGTGAAGGGTGTAAGACATCTTGCGATAACGGAGAACAGTCACCTTCACAACGGTGACACTGTATTCATTCAGTGATGAGCAATGCTGGAAGGGAGCAGTAAGATGTACCATCAGAGTGCTGTAGGAAAGTGCTCAGTTGAGAGATAAAAGCATTCTGCTCTCGACAGGTGCGTGCGAGAATATTCGAAGAGCATTAATGTTTCACGAAACTCACCCACTTCAGATGATATGTTGAAGTGAGCTCCAGCATCGAAGCACTCACTGCTATACTTGCTCAGGCAATCAAAGCCTGGTTGGTTTAGTAATTAATCTCGTTTTGAACAAGATTTAAGAATGTGTGCACACTGCAAAGCAGTTCCTTTCCCCACAATCCGCTCTGCACAATCCTTTCACATCCAAATTCGCACCAGAGCGACAGCTATGACTTACTTGTCCCAAGGGATTGATATGATTGCTGGCATTGAACGGCATAAACGGGGTCTTCTGCTACTACCACCAGCATCAGGAAATGTTGTCGTCTTTAATCGCGACCTTGGCCATGCAGTTGTAGTGCCTCCGGTCATCCGCACCCTAGTCGACGTGATGCCGAAAGCCCTCGGAAGTGATTTAACACACTACACACTCCCTCTAGCCCACCTCCTTACCCTACTCAAGTCCTTCTCCCATCTCTCTCCGATAGACACTATTTCAGTAGCATAACTAATCACGCCTTGGCAGCATTACCCATAACTTGATGAATAAAGTGTCTCGGTTGTGAAGGTGGCTGTCTTCTATCTCACGCGGTGTCCAAGACGCTTTACATCCTCACCCCTATTTGTAAGTGGTTGACTCCTATCAAACTGTGCTCTGCGGAGGAGCACGAGGCGACCTCAGTAGAAGTGCAGACAGGGAGTGAGAGTCTACCTCCACCCCCTCCCCCAGATGAATTGAACAGGTAGAAGACGAATTGGTATTTACAATCACCTTTCCGTAGGCTCATCTACTTCAATGAGGATAGAACATTCCACCTCTCGACTGTGCGTAATAACTGACCTGCCAATTATACGGCTTACGAAGTTGTCGGTGCATCAATACCCTAAGGCTGAAATCCTCCTTATTTTCCTGGCAAAGAAAGACAACAGTTAACACCTCAGGCAGATCTTAGCTTACATTATTTTGTTTTAATTCAAAGTATTTTCTGTGTAAGAATACATAAGCAATCACTGAGGCGAAGAAGACTCGAGAATTTACATTATCATGGTTGATGGCACGTAGGCAGATGGCCAGAGCAGTAAACCTGACTCCATTCTGAGCATTTAAAGGGAGGGGAAGAGATGAATAGTAAAAGAAGGTGGAGGAGGACGTATGAACCACGGATTGGAAGGTAATGTACGCGATCTTTGCACCTGCGGCAGCTTTTCTGTTCTTCTTCACCATCGACAATGAGGACTGGGCTTGTTAGGGCAGCATTCTGAGTGCCGGGTGCCTTGGCTTCAGCCTCAACGAGGTGACAGGTGCTCTCCTCCTAACAGCCGGTCTGGTTGTTCACATAGCAGGGATCATTCTCATCCGCCTAATTATGCTTCACTACTCCTGGAGTGCGACTGAAGCTTGTGTATTGGCAGTCGTCTCTGACATTCCCTCGAATGCTAAGGTCTTCTTCTATGAAGAAGTAAACGAAATTGCGTCACATATCACTGCAATCACTGCAATGACACTCGCGGTTGCAATGTCTGTTATTCTTATCCTTGATCTTTCAATCGAAAAATGAGGATCTCAAAGACTCCTTTGTTTCCGTCCCACCTCGTCCCGTTCAATCGACTCAGGGGTCTTGTTTACCCCCACGTCCACATGCCGTTTTGAAGCTGCCAAGTAAGTCTTCCTAGTATTTGTTCTTTGCTTATACCCCTTCAGTAGGTCGCACAGTTACTCGCATGCACACAGTCGTTGATCACTTGCTTTTCCCTTGGTCCACTTCGCCTTCAGCTTTTTCATCTTCCATCTTTGTGTAAAAAATATTGAGGCAATATGCCAGCTTTGCATGGTGGCGGCAACTGCTTAACTGTCATGGCCACTCAAAGCAATTCAATGGTGTTGGCCGCCTCTTGCTGCTCTCCCTCTCTATGTAATCCCATATTTGTTGCCAGAACCTGTACATACTTACGATCGCATTGTTTGAATCACGTATGGTTTTGCTTTTGAAGACTTGGCAGCAGCAAATAAGACAGCATAAAGGCTTTCGTAAGTAAAGAGGTGGGTCAGTGAAAGGGTAGGCAGGTAATCGGAAGGCCAGTAGGTAGATGGGAGGGCGGGCAGATGAGTAGACACAGAGATATTTACTTAGACAGACATCTGGGGAGGTTTAAAGATGGGTATCTAACGCCTTCTCAGCCAATCGGAAAGGACCGGGTACTGAAGAGTTTTTAGATTAGAGAAGAATTTGAAGAATTGAAATGTGAGTGTTGTTTTAGTTCCAGACGTTTACACGGCCGGTTCCTAGGAAAATCTTGTCATAAGATGAACATGGGCTTTCTCTTCGTAATGGCAAAGTTGATAAAGATTCAAACTTTCAGTGTTTCCGCTTCATATCGACGTGGAGAGAATCGAATCAGAAGCATTTCCTGTTTTCATAAAATTCTATTTAGTATCTGGCCACGTCCACAACTGTTGCTCTCAATGTTAGACGTCAAAGTGCAGCCATTTTTAAACTGGGAACTGTATTATGTGATCTCATAAAATTTCATGCTCTATATCTGGTTAATATCTCCAAGTCGTGAACTCGATCGCACCTGATCGCTTGGCTTACTTGCAATTAGGATATTTGATGCCGCCTATCGGGAGGCAGCGCCTTCCAGATGAAAAAAATAGAGCTTCCGCTTCTTTTAATGCAGTCCGCCCAATGTCATGCAATTTTGTGGAGACGTGTAAAATGGAGGTACATGTTTATGTCTGAGCATTGATGCAATTCTGCTTGATTGTGATTGGGTAGCATTGTGCACTTTTCATTGGACGTGGTTTCTTGCGCCTACCTCTGTTCTGATTGGCCTGTCTGAATGTCGTTAATTAAATAGTGCTTATTCAAGTCAAACTGCTACAGCACTTTGTGTAGTGTGTGTGATGATTTCAAGCCCACTCAGATTTACCCAACGGTGGTCAGGTAGAGGTGAATCGCGTTTTAAATAATTTGGGGTATTATTTACCTTAAACATGAAATGTGATAAAGTGCAGCATGTTGGAACTTGCGCCGATGGCGGCTGTTCACTCCCACCACTGACTTTATTGGACACTTTTGTTTTGGTCCAATCTCTTAGGGCAAATAGGCCCTCACAGATTAGGATCACAAATAGGGGGACAGCAAAACATCCACAATGTTGATATATTCTTGAGAGTGGATTGGGGTAGACAGGTCCACAGCCTACCCCACATTCAAGTGGCACTTGACGATCTGAAATCGGCATAGACTTGTGAATTGTTTGATTTCTGAGAAGGCGGAATGATTGAGTACTCCATAAGCAATCATTACTGCAGGAACTACTGCCTCGCCTTGTACCACTGCAGCGAATA